GACATAAGGGATTTAATGCCCAGAAATCTATCTCCTCAGCTGCTAACAACAACCTCGCCACGGTGGCCCAGATCGAGGGACACGCACACCCAGTGCCAGGAGAATAGCTGTCCTGAGGGATAAATAAGAAAAAACCGAAGTAAAAGGATTAAGTGCAATAATAAAAGAAGAACTATAAGAACGAAGAGGTGGGGCTCCAAGCTGTAGTCCAATATCATCTGATGGTCTTACCGGCGCCCATCAGGTCGCGTAGGATACCGAAGTATATTGCGGACGTATGCTCCCTCGCGACTTCTCCATATATACTTCAACTTTCTTGACTGCAGTTGAAGGAAAGTTTGATCCGTTTCGTTACACATTATTTCGCTGCATGGACCACTGGTCACGGGGTGACCGGAACTGCTTGGCGGAAGTGTAGTGGCACTACAGGAAGCTTATAACGGATTGCAAATTCGCGCTTCTACAGCCGTTCAAATAATTAACCTGACAATTTTGCCGTCCTCTTCGTTGGCCCTCTTTTGCTTCTGCACTTTCAAGGACATCAAGCGCGTGTTGAAGGCACGTAGCGGAATCAGTGACCCCTGCTTCGTGCGTCAGCGATCTGCTGAATTTTGCTGCAAAACAATGCGTCTTTGCCTCTACCATACTAAGCCTATAATGTCGTTGACAATGCCCTCGATTATCCCTCGTGAGGTTATAGGCCGGCACCGCTTGCGTTGAACAATGATCATTAAGTCGTGCTTGAAATGCACTTAGCCGGAGGACAATGGAAATAACTGCCTGCAAGGGGCGCATCCGCCACGCAAACTGGTGACCTGGTGCGCGCACCTAAACGTAGTATGCTAGTGGCGGATGTGCCCCTTACAGGCACTTATTTCTATTGTCCGNGGTGCGCGCACCTAAACGTAGTATGCTAGTGGCGGATGTGCCCCTTACAGGCACTTATTTCTATTGTCCGCCGGCAATTTAAGTACGACTTAATGATCATTGTTCAACTCAAGCAGCGCCGAACTATCTCCTAATGAGGGACAATCGAGAATCTTTTCAGCGACATACCAGGCAAAAGCGGCTCTCTAGCTTGATGATAAAAGCAAGACGCTCCTGAGGAGGCAAGCGAGACGACACTTGGGATATACAAGGCTCCTGTGCTGAATCGCTCCTACTCTTTCACTGTTGGTGCGGGGTGCTACTTTATGCAGGCTATCTATGTAATATCTTCGTGCTAAGGCTGTACAATGATAATGCGCACAGTAGAAGGAACCTGATATTTAACGTTCGTATAGCTGCATGGTGCGAAGGACCGACCGGGTCCATCCAGCATGCTGGCAAAGTGAACAAGTAGCAGCCGAGGCGCTACCTGGCCTAATAGCTTCAGCACGAGAATACCCGAGCTGAATACACCACGGCATGCAAATAGAGGCAGCCACGACGATAACGGGCAAAAGGCAACGAACCTTCCGGCCTAAGGGAGGTAACGGCGGCCTCCACAAGTAGCACAGCTTCCGTGATTACAAATAAAGCGGGACTTACAGAATGCAGATGTGCGGAAGCGCGAAAGGGAAATAAATGCAACAACCTGGCGCTTTACAGAAGGCTGAGCCCAGCCCGATAAGGTCGGAGCCAAATGCTCTAGACTTCTGAGCAGCTGCCAACACTGCACAACAACGATATGTTTTACTGCATAGATAACAACACAGCCGCTGCACAACGCGGACTGAATTGCCTTCAACTACGGGGCAAACAACAGCTGCAGGTCTTGCGCTATCAGCACCTAATAAACGGGCCCTCTCTGTCCACATGCACTATTACATGAATCCGTCTAAGGGTGAGGATTCGGGAGGTCCTTTCCACATTGTACGGTGCTTCCGCGCTGGACTTGGGGGCTGGAATCGGGTATACGCACACAGTGCGCACATATAAGATCCTGTGAGAGGAGCTTCCTGCCTCATCATCGCCTAACTTCACTGCACAATAACTTGCTGCGCTCCCATGGCCTCCTCACGAGGAGATACTGTACGTTTCCCGCGTCTGGAGTTACCATTAGTGGTTGCGGCGCGATGGGTTTCAGCCCACTCCTCGAAGTCCTGAGGAATAGTTTTGCCTGTAGCCAGCATGTGGTCCCTGTACAGAGCCCAGCCGCCGTCATCGGCCAATACGGAAACCAGCGGGCCCGGATGCTGACGGCGCCATGCCAGCCACGCGATGGTGGGCTGTCGGCCTTCAATGTACTCTGCGTATGTTTCGGGAAGAGCTTTCTGACCAGCGAATGCAGCACGGTAGAGTCGCCAGCCCAAGGGGTCACTAAGNCCCACTGAATTCTGCCAATCTTCGAACTGCTCGCACGGGGTGCCGCTAATTGCCTGTTTCATTGCGCTATAAAGCTTCCACCCTTCCGGATCCTGCAGCACTTCCAGCATCGGTCCTCTGTTTTTCCTGCGCCACAAAGCCCAGTTCATCGTCGCTTCCTGGCGCCTCCGCTGTGGCGAATCCATCCACTCTTCATACGACTCCGGCACCTGGGAACCTGACGACTGTAGCTTCTTCACATACAGCTCCCAGCCTTCTCGATCCTTCAGCACTTCTGCCAGGGGTCCTGGATGACGCCGCCTCCACAGCTTCCAAGAGTTGGTCTGGCCATTGCGCAGTCTAGAGCTGGGCGTGCGCAGCCATTCGTCGTATGTGGCAGGAAACGGCTCGCCACGAACTTCAGCCAAAGCCTGTCTAAGAGCGAACACCTCGACCCGGCGAGGCGCACCCCAGCGAGACGAGGACCGCCAGCCAGCCTGCGCCCCCGCCAGCAACTCAGCCGCTTCCGGCTCCCACTCTTTGAAAGTTGCTGGAAGATGGGTGCCTATGGCTTCTACAAATGCCCGGAAAAGCCTCCATCCTTCTTCCTCTGAGCTCAGCAACTGCATGAGCGGCTGCTGCGACCGCTGCTCCCTCCACTGGACCCACTCCGTTGCTGCAACGATTACACGCTGCTCCGGCATCTGCAACCACTCCGTATATGTTGCGGGTATTTGCATTCCTCTAGCGTGCATGAGTGCGGAGTANTCACGGGGTTGCCGTGGTGCTCCTCACGCCACGCCGACCATGCCTTTGATGCAGCCTCGAGAGTTCTGAATCCTTCGTACGTTTCGGGAAGGGGGCGCCTGGGTTTGCTCATGGCAGCTCTGTAGAGCTCCCAGCCCTCAGGGTTCTGCAAGAGCTCATTGAGATCCGTGGAGTGCTGTCCCCCCAGCCAGGACAGCCAGGCATCCATTGCCGCACTTTGCTGCTTGCCTTTAGGGTTGCCGGTTGTCCTGCTCCTAGTATTGGCCGTATTAGAGCCCCTCTTCGACTCGGATTCGCTACTGCCGGACAGTTGTTTTTCCTTTTTACCCGCGTTGCGTTGCTGCTGAGGAAGCTGCAGCCACTCTTCGTATGTAGCCGGCAGCTCCTCTTTACTGCCGCTCTTTTGCTGCTGCTGCTCCAGGTCACTTCTGTACAATCGCCATCCACACGGGTCCGCCAGCACACGAACTAAGGGACCAGGGTGCTCTCGGCGCCATGCTTGCCATGATGCATTTGTTCTTCTTTCCCTCCACTCCTCGTAAGTCGGGTCCGCCTGCTTTCCCGACGACTCCAACATGTGTCTATAGAACTGGTAGCCCTCAGGGTCAGCCAAAACCTTCCGCAGAGCGCCTGGGTGTGCCCTTCTCCACGTTGTCCAGGCTTCCATCGCCATTGCTTTGATCGTGTTGGGGTCTCGGCACCATTCCTCATACGTCTCAGGCAACTTGGTGTCTTGTGATGCGCGTTTGGCCTTGTACAGGGCCCATCCCTCTGGGTCCGCAAGTACCTCTGTAAGGGGGCCTGGATGCTGGCGCCGCCATTGCACCCAGGCTTCATACGCAATGCTTCTTCTTTGGTCCTGATGCTGCAGCCATTCTTCGTAGGTTGGAGGCACAGTAGCGCCCTTCTCCTGCTTCATGGCGTAGAAGAGCGCCCAGCCCTCCGGGTCCGCTAGAACTTCCCGCAGTGGCTTGGGATGAGCTCGCTTCCATTCAACCCAGCGCTGAGTACATTTAGTCATCTCAAGCCATTCTTCGTAGCTATTTACATCCGCTTTTGAAGTACCGTTATGCTGCAACATCTCCTTGTACAGACGCCACGCTCCGGGGTTTTTCAGTGCTTCCTCCAATGGCATTCTGTGCTTCGAGCGCCATGCACGCCACGCTCGTAGTGTGGCTAATGCCTGCTCGGACTTGCGTGGCCTGGATTCTGTCATCTTTGCCTCCCCGTCCATTCCGGTCGGTGGGTCTATGCGGATATGGTAGAAAGCACGTGTCTGGGTGTATATACAGCAGGGAAAAGACCCAAAGGACCCCACAGCAGTGCCGAAGCTTTGCAAGAAAGCAACAGAAGCGACCCTAAGTGCCTCCGCCGGTACAGGACGTGTCCTGATCAGAGTGACACCTGTGCCAGGACTGACTACAGCGGCCACGTGGAGGGTTGAGTGAAGACGCCACTCAAGAAGAGTCTAGTATTCCGCGTATGCCTCGTAAATTGAGGACAGCTGCCTCGAGAAGGCTGAAAGCGTACTCTATCAACGAAGAACCACTCAAGAAGCCCGCGTGGTGGTTGCGAGTGCACAGCATCCGGCCAGTGGCCGGGGCAGTGGAAGCAGCGAAACAAAGTAAACAAAGCAAATAAGTTGGCTATAGAGTGGAGCACACAGTAAATTCGCAGTACTCTTTCCTAAAAAAGAGTCATATAAGCTCCGACGGCCACCAGACACCTCAGCCAGGTAGCCGACAAAGATGCAATCAGTGGCCACGCTGTAGCGAAGCACTGTGGTTGGAAATGGAGAGTCCCAGCTCCAACAAGAATAAAATATTTGCTTAGGTGATAAACACAAATATCTGGATGACCTCCTGCCAATCACCTGACACCCTACGCCTGCTCATGGCCGCTGCGTTTGCCAGCTTGAACTGACACGCGGCCCTCGTCCGCGGGACGGTGGCAGTGGCCCCGCCTACAGCAGCAGCAGCCAGGAGCATGCATCAACTGTGGAGCGGAGCACTACCTTCTATTGTATGACTTAGTCGAAGTAATAATTATATAGTGTTAAATTGCCCTCCTGTCCTCACGGCAGCCTGTCATCCTCGTAGCATCTCCACGCAGCTCGTTGCTGGCTTGCACACGGTGGGGCGGATGAGCTGCCCGGCTGTGGATGGACAGAGCCCTATCCCGACTTTGGCATTGGTTATTTATTCCCTCGACACTTTTACGTTGCACAACACTACGCTTTACGTACAACTGAAGTACAAAGGCGCAACAAAGCACGTGAGGCGCCCGCGGCTGCCAAGAGAGCCGTGCAACTCCCTCAGTGGGAGAGTTCCTGGGCATATCCCACTGCTGTCGAGAGATGCAAAAATAAACAACACATTGAGTATAATAGCTCCCCCCAAGGCAGTAAATATTTCCTTCTCTCTGTAGGGAACCTGAGCACAACTGGATACTACAAATAGCCTGGGCTTTCCGGAGTCCAGGTTGGTGTTCACCAATTGTCTGCAACGTTAATGCATGGGTCGATGGGGGTTGGCTATGTTTTCATGTGGTTTCGCCCTGCAGAATGAGTTACAGCGGGGTTTGNCATGGGTCGATGGGGGTTGGCTATGTTTTCATGTGGTTTCGCCCTGCAGAATGAGTTACAGCGGGGTTTGTTGCAACTAGCAGTAGGCCGTTACCTCTCCGCATCAGCCCTGGGCCTTTGTGCCGCTGTGCCTGTTGCAGCTCAGCTCACGACGACCTTCTGGTAAGTTTGAAGACACTCTTTACACTTGGTAGTGCCGCATAGA